GGAGCAGCCAGGATTTGAACTGGCACCCATATGGGATGCCAGGGCTGTAGGCAGCAGCTTAACCCACTTTGCCACAGCTCCAGCCCTTGACAAGAAAATTTTTAAGGTACCCTAGAGATAATCTGGAAAGTCTGCAGTGTTTTAGGAGCTTCATTGTATGTGATAAGTCAATTCTCCTTTGCTGCTTTCAGGATTCTCTGTTTTTTTCTGCAACATGGAAATTTTGATTATCATTTGGCTTAGTGGTAGTCCTTTGGATTTATTTTAATTGGAGTTAACTGAGCTTTTATAATGTGTATATGGACTTCTTGAAATGTAGGAAGCTCCAAATAGGAGTCACTGTTTCTTAAAAATGGGTCTCTCTCATACTCCATTTCTTTATTCTTATTGTGTAATTTCCATAAGGCATATGGAATATAGGGCATATCTCCTTATGGTATCCCATACATCCCTCTAGTTTTATTCACTTTTCTTCATTATTTTTCTTTTGTTCCTGTGTGGGGAGCAACTGAGACTACACTGAGTTACTGGAACTAGGACTAATTCTATGCATCTGCTCTCCCACAATATGGCACTGGGGAGGAGCAAACAACTACGCAGCTGCCTCATCAGTTTGATAAGCTGCAGGAGCTGATCCGGCTCCTGATTGGAGGAGAGCAGCGTGTTCGGCATGTGGGTAGCAGAGTTGGGATTGGTGGAAGAGGACTATAGAGGAGAGAAACAACATGCACCAGGAACATCCAGATAACATCTGAGTAGCCCCCAAGAGAGCCGGCCGGCGGTGTGCCACTCCTCTGCGGAAGCGGGGATAGCGGCGGGGGGTGCCGCCCCTCCACGGAGGTGGAGGGGCTGGCAGCCAACCCAGGAAGGACCAGTAGCAAACCCGGGAAGGGCCGAGCAGACAAAAGAACAGCGCAGGGTCCTGTGTCATTCCTCCGCGAATGGGGGAGCGACATTCCTGTGACTAGATAATTTCAAATAAAATCTGAATCTAAACATGAAAATACTGATTACTGGAGGTTGGGAGTCATGGAATAAGTTTAAGTGTTTTGGATGAAAAAATAAGGGAAAAGGCCAGCACTGTGGCACAGCGAGTAAAGCTGCTGCCTGCAACACTGGCATCCCACATGGGTGCCAGTTTCAGCCCTGGCTGCTCCACTTCCAGTCCAGCCCCCTCCTAATGCACCTGGGAAAGCAGTGGAGGTGGGCCCATGTGCTTGGGCCCCTGTGCCCATATGGGAGATCTGAAAGAAGCTCCTGAATCCTGCTTTGGCCTGACCCAGCTCCAGCCATTGTAGCCATTTGGGAAGCCAACCAGTGAATGGAAGATCTCTCTCTCTCTCTGTCTCTGTCTCTCTCTTTCTTCCTCTTTATGTTAACTCTTTCAAATAAATAAATAGTCTTTATAATAATTGGGGAAGATGGGTGTGGTTCACTGTAACAAAGACATTACTATGTGATGTAATAGGGGACATAGGATGAGGGGTATATGCGAACTCTATGTATTACTACCTCACAATTTTTTGTATGTTTAAAACTATTCTGACACAACGTGTTAAAAATGATATAACTGTTAGTAAATAAATTATTTGAAAAGTCCAAAAGTTCACTGATTCTTTGTTGTACTTGAACCTGCTGTTGAACACTGTATAGAATGTTCCAACTTAGTTATTGTATTCTTTATCCCCACAATTTCTTTTTTATAGTTTCTTACCTTTATTTTCATTTATTCCTTTTTTTCTGGTTGCACAGTTGATCTCTTTGTGTCATCTTTTAGCTAGCTTACAATCTTTGAGATGATTATTTTGAATTTGTTGTTTAAAAATCAAATACCTCCAATCTTTAGTTTTTTTTTTTTTAAGATTTTATTTATTTGACAAGTAGAGTTACAGACAGTGAGAGAGAAAGAGACAGGTCTTCCTTCTGTTGGTTCACTCCCCTGATGGCTGCAAGTGCTGGAGCTGAACCAATCTGACTCCAGGAGCCAGGTGCTTCTTCCCGGTCTCCCATGTGGGTGCAGGGGCCCAAGCACTTGGGCCATTTTCTACTGCTATCCAAGGCCACAGCCGAGAGCTAGATCCGAAGAGGGGCAACCGGAACAAGAACCGGTGCCCATATGGGATGCCAGCACCACAGGTGGAGGACTAACCTAGTGCACCACGATGCTGGCCCCTCTCCGTATCTTTAAAGAGGGTTTAGTAACTTATTTCTGGTGAAGCAATTTGTTCCTTTGGGTTACATTTCCCAGTTTCTATGCATTCTTTTTGTTCTCTGGTTAGATGTGATCATTGGGGAAAACATCTGCCCCAGGTTTTCTGGACTGGATTCCTACAGGGAAAGACCTTCATGGAGATTGTTGGGGATTCTCAAACCTTTGCTGGGAGGCATCTTCTCTGGGCTGTGTGTGAGTTTATAGTTGTGCTCCAGGTCACATCATCATCTCTGCCTGGTGTCTTGCTTCTGGTACTGAAGTTCCTCTGGGAGGATAACTAGGTGTTTTCCATAGTTCTCAGTGGCTCCTAATCTGGTACCCATAGGCCACTGCCATTTCCATTAGAACTCCAAGTCAGGCAAGGTATAATGCATTTCCTCAGGTAGCCCCTGAGAGGACAATACATATTCTCTTTCCCTTCCAAGACAGATGCTAGGAGTTGGGGGTTTTCTGCTTATCCTGAGATGGTGTTTCTGGCACTGGCAGGGCCTTAGCTGACAAACACAAAGAATGCTGTCATGCACTGTGAGGAAGTACCTTTTGGCTTTGTGTTCATCTGGGCATGATGTAAAGCCTTAACCGGCTTGTGGAGCTCTTACAGAGAATTTAGTCCATGGATGTTGTTAAGTCAGGACTCTGTGGGTGAAATGAAGACCTTGGACTGACTTCCTATTCCTTTGTCTTACTGATATCAGCATGGCCAACCTTGTATTTTATTAACCACTAATGAATTGATGATACTCATTAAAAAATCTAAAGAAAATACATTCTGGAGCAAAATGAACACTACATGATGCACAAAAATCATACACTACTGGAATCACTTGTGAATTTTGCCACAAAATGTGATGTTGGGAGATTCTGGTGGATAAAGAGAAACCAGGATCACCTCTATGGACTAGTTGGCTGGTGATACATCACGAAGCAGTATGGGTGGAAACTTTATCAGTACAAACAGAGACAGTTGTCCTGCAGGATAATCTGAGAGCATGACGATTTGATGGGGGTTCAGCTGAAAGGCAGCTGGGTCATTGCATAACCTTGGTGCATACAGATGTTAGCACTTAAAGTGTTCAAGATCACATGAGCATCAGTATCAGCCTGTGCTTTTAGACTTTCAGAATTCTGCTCCCAGGGGTGGGCATTTAGCACAGCAATGCCTGAATCCTGTACTGAGGTACTAGATTTGTGTTCCAGCTCTGCTTCTTCAATCCACTTCCTGCAAATGCACTTGATGGGAGGCAGCAGATGATGGCTCAAGTATTTGGGTTCCTTCTACTTATGTGGGAGACCCATACTAACTTCTATGCCTTGGGTTAGTCCTGGCCCTGCCCTAGCTATTGGGGGAACCTGGGGAGTAGACTACAAGATGGGTTTTATCATTGTCTGATAATTTATCATTATCTTACCTTTGTCTCTCTCTGCCTTGCAGATAAATAAAACGGAATGAAAAATTTTAAAAGGACTGCTGGTCCCAGTCCAGGAAAAATCATAGATGTGTATCCATTACCAGACTCATCTGTTTTGGGAGGTCAAGGCCCAACTGTGTCCTGAACAGTCCTGAGGAGACAGCCTCAGCCCTCACTACTCACTGGGCATGGAACGGAAATGCATTCTCACTTGCCTGTCATGGGCTGCAGCAAGAGAGCCCCACCCAGTGAATTTTGTGGGACACAGAGGCTGCAGGAGGGATTGCTGGGATCATTGTTCCCTCATATGTGGGCCAGCAGGGTAGTTTGGATAGCTAGATGGATGAGTTCCAAATTTTATAATCCAGGTGACAAGAACCAGTGGAAATTCTGCTTTCTTTTTACCCTGGTTCCTTACAGAGTGACTCAGTGCATTTACACAACTATTTACCATACAACAGGAACAATAGAAGATATTTTATACATATGCAATCTTTTAAATTTCATGGAAATGTATATTTTTTTTATCTTTTATTTAATGAATATAAATTTCCAAAGTACGACTCATGGGTTACAATGGCTTCCCCCCCCATACCGTCCCTCCCACCCACAACCCTCCCCTTTCCCACTCCCTCTCCCCTTCCATTCACATCAAGATTCATTTTCGATTATCTTAATATACAGAAGATCAGCTTAGTATACCTTAAGTATTATGAACATTTCTTTTAATTGCATTTTTTCTTTTTTTCCCCAGATTTATTTATTTATATGAAAGGCAGAGTTACAGAGAGGCAGAGGCAGAGGCAGAGAGAGGTCACTCTCCAAATGGCTGCAATGGCCAGAGTTGTGCTGATCCGAAGCCAGGAGCCAGGAGCTTCCTCTGGGTCTCCGATGTGGGTACAGGGGCCCAGGCACTTGGGCCATCTTCCACTGCTTTCCCAGGCATTAGCAGAGAGCTGGATGGGAAGTGGAGCAGCCAGGACTTGAACCAGTGCCATTTGGGATGCTGGCACTGCAGGTGGCAGTTTTACCCACTACGCCACAGTGCTGGCCCCTTGATTACATTTTTTTCTAAAAAATTTTTGAAATAGCCTTTGTATTTTTTTTTTTTTGCTACTTCTAAAGTACTGAGGTGTGCTACCAAATAAACATGGACACATCAATAATTTATGTCAATGTAATTTGATAGGAGACACTCTTAGACACACTCATTCAAATTAGTAAGAAGCCATAAGTTGCCAAGACACAAAATACCAACCCAAGCAAGTGCTTAGGAAATGAACATAGGAAGCTTGTCTATAGAGACTAATGAGGACCTAGAATCAGATTCTTGGCAAAGAAGAGTGAATTCTCCTTAGATACCACCCTTAATACAATGAATTTACAGACATAACAATCATGCACTGAGTTGTGGAATTCAAAATAGAAGTCTGAAATTTACATAAAGATCATGTAACTTAGCAGCAGCAAGGAGCACAGGCAAGCTTTTGCTCTGAAAAGTTTCCAGGTACACTTAACTTTTCCTCTTCCATTAATATCAGCAAGGCCTCAGAGACTGGGATGACATGGGCCATGGCTAATGAGGAGCTCTGTGCACTGAGCCCCCAGGTTCTTCCAAGTATAAATAATGAGCCAGCACCTTTAGACCTTGACTTTGCCAGGGGAATTCTAGTATCTCCATGCTGATTCCTACCACGGAGAGCATCAGCATCAGGAGGGCACGGCCTGACTGTCCCCTTTCCAGTCCCAAGTAAAGGATGCAAGTCTCCATGCACTCCCTGCAGAAGAGGAGCAGAGGAGCCATCACCCTTGGTCATGCTTCAGAGACTCAGCGCAGCCCGGCAAGTGCTCAGGGTCACAGTGAAAGGATCTGGGAATGTCGGGACCATTGTTTCCTCATCATTAGGATGAAGTGATTGCTGTGAAAGACAGACGGGAAGCAACCGACAGGCTATGTTTCAACTCAGGAAGTTGTGAGATTTATGTTCTTGGTTCTCAAGGGACTCAGACTGTTTTTTTTTTCTCTCACACTGACTGTTCTTGCCACCAGCATCTCCTTCATGATGGCAGCAAATGAGTCTGTAGAAGTTATCCCTGAACACCCCAACATGAACATGAGTTTCAGGATGAGGATATCAGTAACCAAAGCATCACAGGCCTTAAGTGCCACTGTCTGAACTCTACATCCTTAGTAGCTTGTTTCATTTCATCACATAGCCCACATTTTTATTTTATAGAGGAGGAGAGGGGCTAGGCTCTCATGGAATTCACATCAGGTTGTCAGGTAGAAGCAGCAGCGGGCAATTCTAAATCAGATGGTCTGATTTCAGATGCAAGGAACATGGCCTGTATTCCCCTTTGACGACCCAAGCAGTCATTTCCCTTTTCTGTCTTTCCAGGGAGAGACCTCCTGTTTGCTGTGCTCTTCCTTTGGGGTTTCTTTGTAGACCATGGTGGGCAGCAGCCAGGGAAGGGTGCTGAGTTCAAAGGCAAAGATCACAAATGGGGCCAGTGCCATCGCTCACTTGGTTAATCCTCCACCTGTGGGGCCAGCATCCCATATGTGCACTGGGTCCTAGTCCTATTTGCTCCTCTTCCAGTCCAGCTCTCTGCTGTGGCCCGGGAGGGCAGTGGAGGATGGCCCAAGTGCTTGGGCTCCTGCACCCAATTGGGAGACCAGGGAGAAGCACCTGGCTCTTGGTTTTGGATCAGCACAGTGCCAGCTGCAGCAGCTATTTGGGTAGTGAACCAATGGAAGGAAGCCCTTTCCCTCTGTCTCTCACTTACACTGTCTATAACTCTACCTGTCAAAATTTAAAAAAAGATCACAGATGAACAGGCACAGGGTAACTCAGGGAAGATCTCTCTCTTGAGATAGCTCACTTCAGCTTTCAATTTCCTCCAGTTCTCGTTAATCTTGCCACTTAATGTCAATATGAGACATTAAGATGAGCAGTTAGGTCCCATTTCTCCTGCAGAATCTGTGAAGAGATTGACAACCAACTTCAAAGGTACCTGATGTTGTAACTTAGGGAACTCTGCTTAATACATTCTGATGATAAGGAGTTAATGGAGATGCGTCAGATCTAGAGTCCAGGCAGTTTTGAATCCTGTCCAATCCACTGATTATTCCTATGCATAGAGGATGTTTCCAGGATCTTTGACACGGGCATTGTCATCTGTGTTGATACCTCATTAAGTAATGAATGGGTTTATACAAGCTTCATACATGATGTATATGCAATAGATGAATCAAAAGTGGACAAAAGAAATTTTAGATATTGTTATTACCATTTTAAGATTGATCTTCATTTCACTCACTAAAATATAAGCTGCTTGACCCTGTTCATTCCTATTTCTGTGCCAGGACTTGTTACTGCTTTCCTTGTATGAGAACTTCAAAACATTCATGGAAAAATGGAATAAAAAATTTGAATTTGGCCCCAATTTTTTAAAAATCATGACAATTTTTTCATAATATACATTTTCCACATATTATGACAAGATTTTTATATCCCAAAGTTAATTTATTAAAATTAATTGATACTTTTAATAATTCCATTCCTACAAAACCTTTTAGAGTACAAATATACCCTCGCAAACATATAAGCAGTGTATTTTGGGAATAATGGCATTCCTTTTTTTTTTTTGATTCTTCAGACCCTATTATTTGCTTGGCACAGAAGAGGCATAGAAAATCTGTTTCCTTTTAATTTAATTTTTTATTTGACAGGTAGAGTTATAGACAGAGACAGAGAGAAAGGTCTTCCTTCCATTGGTTCACCCCCCAAATGGCTGCCACGGCCAGCGCTGCACTGATCCGAAGCCAGGAGCCAGGTGCTTCTTCCTGGTCTCCCATGTGGGTGCAGGGCAAAAGCACTTGGGCCATCCTCCACTGCCCTCCTGGGCCACAGCTGAGAGCTGAACTGGAAGAGGAGCAGCTGGACTAGAAACCGGCGCTCATATGGGATGCTGGCTCCACAGGCAAAGGATTAACCAAGTGAGCTGCAGCGCCGCCCCTCACCCCCAAAAATCTCTGTTTCGTATTGAGTAGAGCCTCCCTTGGCTCACAAAATCTGTCTTTCAAATAAAAAATTTAAAAATGAATCATGAAAAAGCCATAAGAAGATTGAATTCACCACTGTCAAGAATTTATTATGGGGGATAGCACTGCAGTGTAGCAGGTAAAAGCCACTGCCTGCAGTTCTGGAATCCCATATGTGAGCTGGTTTGAGTTCAGGCTGTTCCACTTCTGATCCAGCTCTCTGCTATGGCCTGGGAATGCAGTGGAAGATGGCGTAAGTGCTTGGGCCCTTGCACCCACACAAGAGACCCAGAAAAAGCTCTAGGCTCCTGGCTTTGGATCGAGACAGCTCCGGCCCTTGTAGACATCTGGGGAGGAACTGGTGGATGGAAGACCTCTCTCTTTTTTTTTCTCTCTCTCTGCCTCTGCCTCTCTATAACTTTGCCTTTCAAATAAACAATAAATCTTTTAAAAAATTGTCTTGCACCGAAATTTTTCTCTTTAGTTCAATTATTCTAAGAACATTAGAGTAAAAGCATGTGTTATACACGTAACTGGTTGAACTGAAAATATGTGCATGTGCTGATTGCCTGTTTGTGTGCTTCCTTTTACCAACACTGTTTTTTTTTTAGTAGGATTAGGGTATATTGAAACACAAAATATCACACGTGTCACAGAATTCTATCTCATGGGCTTCTCAGAGGATCCAGAAGGGCAGCCCTTCCTCTTTGTGCTGGTCCTGTCCATGTACCTGGTCATGGTGCTTAGGAACCTGCTCATCACCCTGGTCATCATCTCAGACGCCCACCTCCACATGCCCATGTACTTCTTCCTCTGCAACCTCTCCTTTGCTGATGTGGGTGTCACTTCCACCATGGTTCCCAAGATGATTGTGGACATCCACACTCACAGCACAGTCATCTCCTACGTGGGATGCCTGACACAGATGTCTCTCTCGATTATCTGTGGATGCATGGATGATTTGCTTCTGACCATGATGGCCTATGACCGGTTTGTTGCCATCTGTCACCCCCTGCATTACCAGGTCATCATGATCCCCTGCCGCTGTGGCTTCTGGGTTTCAGTGTCTCTTGTGTTCAGCCTTTTGGATTCCCTGCTGCACAGTTTGATGGTCTTGAAAGTTACCTGCTTCATGGATGTTGAAATTTCTAATTTCTTCTGTGACCCTTCTCAACTCAGTTTTGCCTGCTCTGACTCCTTCACCAGTGACATAGTCAAGTATCTTGTTGGCATCATATATGGTTTTTTCCCTATCTCAGGGATCCTCTTCTCTTACTATAAAATCATTTCTTCCATTCTGAGAGTCCCATCACCAGGTGGGATGTACAGAGCCTTCTCCACCTGTGGCTCTCACCTGTCAGTCAAATGCTTATTTTATGGAAGCTCCATTGGGGTGTATTTCAGTTCAGCTTTCTCAGTGTCTCCTGGAAAGGGTGCCTTGGCCTCAGTGGTGTACACTGTGGTCACCCCCATGCTCAACCCCTTTATCTACAGCCTGAGGAACAGGGGCATCAAGAGGGCCTTGTGGAGGCTCCTCAGGAAAACAGGCTTATCTCAGTCCCTGTGCCATGCTTCTGGACTCTTGGTGGGAACTGCAGCAAAACGAAGCATCTAGACCTCCAAATCTCACTTTTCTCTGTACATGATGTGTGAGGCTAGTGCTCTCCAGATTTTGTGTCTGGTTATTGTTTCTTTTGGTCTTTTTAATGAGGCATATTATAGATTTTTTATACATTACCAGAGGCTTGGAGAGATGAAGGGATATTTTTGGATAAAAATAAGAGAATTTGGTTGTGGATGAATAATTATGACAAAGTTATTAATGAATGAGCTTTAATACAGGAAATGATGAATTGGGTGTAGGGGAATTCTTCGTATGACTACCTCACAATTTATGTTGTATAAATTTAAACCTATTCTGAAAAAAGATGTTGAAAATATACAACTGTCAATAAAACTTATTTGAAAAGTTAAAAAAGCCACTGATTCTTCTTGATACTCTGCTGCTGAACACTCCACTGAATATCCTAATAAAGTTATTGTATTCTTCAACTTCTATATTTCTGCTCATTTTTTTTCTTTTAGAGTTTATGTCTCTGTATTTTTATTACCATTTTGCTAATTCATTATTTTCCTGATTGCTTTGTTTCTATCTGTGTTATCTGTTAACATACTTGTTAGCTGTCACAAAACACACTGAACACTGGAATAAGGGAAAGGGTTTATTGGGGAAAACTCAGTAGACTGGAGGGAAGGGAGAAAGAAGGATGAGAGAGAGAGAGTATGAGAGAGAGAGAGATAGTGGAGAGGAGTTAGTGAGGAGAGAAGATAGAGCAGAGAGAAGAGAGACGAGAGGAGAGCAGAGAGCAGGAGAGGAGAGCCAAGAGAGAGCAGCCAAGAGAGCCACGTGTTCAAGAACAGGTCCTTTTATTTTTTTTTAACTTTTATTTAATGAATATAAATTTCCAAAGTACGATTTATGGATTACAATGGCTTCCCCCACATACCGTCCCTCCCACCCACCACCCTCCCCCTCCCACTCCCTCTCCCCCTGCATTCACATCAAGATTCATTTTCGATTATCTTAATATACAGAAGATCAGCTTAGTATACATTAAGTAAGGATTTCAACAGTTTGCTCTCACACAGAAACATAAAGTGAGAAATAATAGGTGATTTTTTTTAAATGATGATGAAATAAGATCAGACCTATTGTCATGTTTAATCCCAGTGAGAGTCAAGTTGGGAGTTGATAATTTCTTTTTTTTTTTTTTTTACAGAGAATCAGTTTAGTGTGCATTAAGTAAAGATTTCAACAGTTTGCACCCCCATAGAAACACAAAGTGAAATATATTGTTTGAGTACTCGTTATAGCATTAAATCTCAATACACAGCACATTAAGGACAGAGATCCTACATGAGGAGTAAGTGCACAGTGACTCCTGTTGTTGACTTTACAAATTGACACTCCTGTCTATGGCATCAGTAGTCTCCCTATGCTCCAGTCATGAGTTTCCAAGGCTATGGAAGCCCTCTGAGTTCTCCGACTCTTATCTTGTTTAGACAAGGTCATAGCCAAAGTGGAGGTTCTCTCCTCCCTTCAGAGAAAGGTACCTCCTTCTTTGAAGACAGAACAGGTCCTTTTAAAACTTTGCCTGAAGGAGGGCAGGGAAGCAGGAGCAGTGAATCCCATTAGTATGGGGGTGCAGCTTGACAACAGAGGTTGGGCCATGTGGCCACCTGGCTTCCAGCAATGGCTTCGGGAGCTAGAGCTTGGGATGTAAATCAGGGTATAGATCGTGCCATGGATAAAACTGCACCAGTTTCCTAACAATACTGATAATCTTTAAGTATTTTGAGTTTACTGTGGGATGATCAAATATCTTTATTCCTTTAGAAAGATGTAGTACTTTATCTCTGGAGATGCAGTTTGCTAATTTTATTAGGTGATATTTCCCTGTTTCCATGCATTCTTACTCTCCATCGATATTGGAGCAATGGGGAAAAAAGCATCTCCCAGTCCTTATGGATGGGCTTCCAACATGGAAATATCTTCACAACAGAATGTCTAGGGATTGTGGGTGACACCCAAAACTTCCCTGGGTTTCTGTGTGTGTGATTTGTGCAGTTAGAGGTTAGCCTTTGTTCTCCAGAGCTCAGCATCTCTTCCTCCCCCTAGTGTCTGTTTGTGGTACTGCATTTCCTCTGAGGGCTGTAAGGAGGTGCCTTCCTTTGTTCTCTTCAGCCAGTACCATTCAATGCCATTACCATTCCAGCTCCAACGCTGGAAAGGTATGAACCAGTTCCTCAGGCAGCCCTGAGAAGACAGAACTTTGGAAGAACACTCCACCTTCTCTTTCCTTTCCCTGAGGGATTAGAACTCCCTTCCAGTAGGAGGAAGTTTTCTCCTCATTCTGGTACGCTGTTTCTGGGACAGGGAGCTCTGTAGTGGGAAAATGCAACAAACACATTTTGATACACTTCTCCCTGGCTTTGCACTCAGCTAGGGTGATATAATCTCTTAACTAGTTTGTAGAGTTCTAACAAAGGTAATTTGGTCCAAAATGTTGGTAAATCCAATCTCAATGGGAGAAATGAGCCGTAGAGTTTCCTATTCCATCACCTTCTTGATATCACTTATCTTCAAACTATACTGCATTAAAGACTTAATGACATGGTAACACACATTAAAATACCTAAGGAAAATACATTCTGGTGTACAGTGATCACTTACTTGGAGAGCAAACATCAGAGGCCACTGTACTGGCAGCATTTGTTGAATGCTCACAGCTGTTTGTGACATCATAGGGAGATTCTGCTGGTAGAAGAGAAATCATGGTTATTTCTTTGGACTACATGACCGATGATACACCATGGAGCAGTGTGGTAGAAACTGTATAACTACACAATGCAGAGATACACCCACCCAACTGAGAGTTCTGCAGGAAAATGTGGCTGAGAGCAGATCATTTTATGGGTTGTGTAACATGCTGGGGAGAAGACTGATATATGCACAATCTTGTAGTGCTTACACACCAACGTCAGAGACCCACTCTTCAGTACCTAAAGTGTTCAAGAAATTCATAGAAAATAGCCTTGCAGTCTTTTTTTTAACAGGCAGAGGTAGACAGTGAGAGAGAGAGATACAGAGAGAAAGTTCTTCCTTCCATTGGTTCACTCCCCAAATGGTTGCTATGGCTGGTGTGCTGTGATGACCTGAAGCCAGGAGCTAGGTGCTTCCTCCTGGTCTCCCATGCAGGAGCAGGGCCCAAGGACTTGGGCCATCCTCCATTGCCCTCCAGGGCCACAGCAGAGAACTGGATGGAAAATGAGCAACCGGGACTAGAACCTGGAGTACCGGTGCCGCAGGTGGAGGATTAGCCTAGTGAGCTGCAGCACTGGCCAGCCTATGCAGTCTTTAATGCTAGTCCAAGGGGCAAGCATTTGGCATGGCAGTTAAGATGCCACTTGGGATGCAGGCATCTTTTTTTTTTTTTGACAGGCAGAGTGGACAGTGAAAGAGAGACAGAGAGAAAGGTCTTCCTTTGCCATTGGTTCACCCTCCAATGGCCACCGCGGCCAGCACGCTGCAGCCAGCGCACTGTGCTGATCCGATGGCAGGAGCCAGGCACTTCTCCTGGTCTCCCATGGGGTGCAGGGACCAAGTACTTGGGCCATCCTCCACTGCACTCCCTGGCCACAGCAGAGAGCTGGCCTGGAAGAGGAGCAACTGGGACAGAATCCGGCGTCCCAACCGGGACTAGAACCCGGTGTGCCGGTGCTGCAAGGCAAAGAATTAGCCTAGTGAGCCGCGGCGCTGGCCGATGCAGGCTTTTTTTTTTTTTTTTTTTGACAGGCAGAGTGGACAGTGAGAGAGAGAGACAGAGAGAGAAAGGTCTTCCTTTGCCGTTGGTTCACCCTCCAATGGCCGCCGCTGCAGCCGGCGCACCGCGCTGATCCTGGCAGGAGCCAGGAGCCAGGTGCTTTTCCTGGTCTCCCATGGGGTGCAGGGCCCAAGCACCTGGGCCATCCTCCACTGCACTCCCTGGCCATAGCAGAGAGCTGGCCTGGAAGAGGGGCAACCGGGACAGAATCCGGCGCCCCGACCGGGACTAGAACCCGGTGTGCTGGCGCCGCAAGGTGGAGGATTAGCCTATTGAGCCACGGCGCGGGCTCGGCATCTTATTTTTGAGTGCCTGTGTTTGAGTCTTTGCTCTGCTTCCAGTCTTTACTTCTGGTTACTGTTCTCCTGGGGATGCAGATGATGGCTCAAGTATTTTTGGCTCTGCCACCTACATGGGAGACCCAGGTTGAATCCTCAGTTCCTGGCTTTGCCTGACTCAGCACTGGGTCTTGTGGGCTTTTGGGAGTGAATCAGTCAACAAAAGTTCTCTCCCTTTGTCTTTTTGTCCTTGTCTCTTTTTGTCATTCAAATACAAAGGATGAATTTTTAAATAAGAATACTGGTTCCAGACTAGGAAAAACTGTGCCTGTGTCTTCTCTTTCCAGAGTCATCTGTATTAGGATGCCCAGACCTGGCTGTCTTCCTAACTGTCCTGAGGAGACAGCTCAGCCCTCATTGCTCACTAGACAAGATGAGGCAATGGACCCTCATTCCTCAGACATGTCCTACAGCAGGGTTCCAAGCCCAGTGAGTTCTGTGGGACACAGTGGGTGCAAGAGGTACTGTAGGAAGCAAGGTTTCCTCATGGGCAGGACTGGCAGGGCAGTTGGGATAATTTGACTAGTCACCCAAAAGAAAAGTGTCAGTACAAACACCTGAATTCTAAATCCTGGCTCACGAGTAGCATTCAAGAACTAACAGTAAGAACTGTGCATTCCTTTTCCAATGTTTCTTTTTTTAAAAAAAGATTATTTGAAGACAGAGTTACAGGGAGAGAGGGAGTGAAAGAGGGGGCGAGGGCGAGGGGGAGGGCGAGGGCGAGGGAAGGAGGGAGGGAGGGAGAGGTAAGGGAAGAGTGAGGGAGGGGGAGGGAGAGGGAGAGACATACAGAATATCTTCCATATGCTTGTTCATTCTCCAAATGGCTAGGAGCTTCTTCTGGGTTTCCCACATGGTCAAAGGGGCTCAATCACTTAGGCCATACTCTACTGCTTTTCCAGGTGCATTAGCGGAGAGCTGGATCACAAGTGGAGCAGCCAGAACTTCAACAGGTGCTCCTATGGGATGCTGGTGCTGCAGGCTGTGACTTGACCTGCTATGCCACAGCACTGATGCCTACAATGTTTCTTAGTCTGAATGTTTTCATGTCTATTTTCTGTATCACAAGGTTAAATGAAGATATTTATATATTTATGCGATCCTTCAAAAATATGAGGGAAACAAACTTTGAAATTTGTTTTCATCCTGCATTTCCACAAACTTCTTGAAGTATTCCCAGACTTTCTTACTGCTGCACTAAGCATAAAGTATCAAATAAATGTGTAATTATCAATAACTTGGTAATACATATTCAATCCTAGAAACAATTGAGAAAAGCCAGGTAAATGATTAAAATGCCCATAAACTTTAACACATTAAATGCCAGCTCAAGCAAGGACTTAGGAAATGAATATAGGAAGTTTCTTTAGAGACTCTTGCTAACTGAGAAAATGCAGATAGTCTCAGATGCTCGGCATAGAAAATGGAATTCTCCATGCTTTTCATATTGCTGCAATGAACTCAAAGAATCACATTGGGATTTGTGAACATGGAGAACAGAAATCTGAATTTTATGTAAAGATCCTGCATCTTGGTATTCAGCAGCAAGAAGCAGAGGTGAGCGGTCCTTGGAGAACATTCCAGGTGCACTTACTTTTCTCCTATTTGCATCAGCAAGTCATCAGAGACTGGGCTACATGGGCCTACAGGCTAATTAGGAGCTCTTTGCATTGAGCCCCTGAGGTCCTCTCAGCACAATGAGCAGAGCCTCCAGACCATGATATT